AAAAAAAAAAAAAAAAAAAAAAAAAAAAAAAAAAATTATCCTGCGCTGACAATTAATAACTGATTGAACAAAACTTAAAGAGCTTAACACTGTTTCCTGTCTTCCCTTCCAACTCACATTTATTCAACTCCGCAATTATTGTACTAACCTAACAAAAAACTGTCTTTCCAACAGCATTTTTCAACAGTTTCTAATAACACTAAAAAAATATCCATAAATTTTCAAATATTTTTTCAAAAATGTTTAACTAACAAGATGTCTATATTAGTTAGAATCATGAGACCATATGAATCACACAAATATTCAATACTCTAAAAAAAACCTTTTTCTTGAAACTCTGTTCTCGTTCTAACGGCCCAGGAGTGGTATAACCTTTCAAATAGGAGCTTAAAAAGGCTGCACTTGGTTCTTCAAACAGTGCCAAGTTGTTTCCACCAATACTTTTTCGAGTCCGATACGACCCCCACGACAACAAACCAGGTGGTGCATCATCGCCTACGAACAACTCACGTAAAATCGTTGCAGAGTAATCCAAACGTACTTCTTACGACTGACATACCAGCAAAGTACTCTTTACAGCAAAAACATATAAAGTCAAAAATAAATAAAGAATAAAAAAATATGCCTTTCAATAATTTTTATATCAATAAACCTTATTCAACGATCTCTTCCAAAGTAAAAAAAGAAAAAAAATTAAAAAATTGACAACAAAGTTGTTAAAATTGTTGAAACTGGGTAGAAACAAAGGTTAGTTGAAATGTCACAACAGATAATAAAACTTGAAAAAAAGTAGTAAAATAGTTAAGAATTTGCTAAAATAATTCAAAAAAAGTTACCTTCTTGAGTGGGGCCAGTTGCAGCATTATCGCCAGCTTTGACACTGTTTGATCTAAATAATTTATTTTTCAAAACTGTAATTGAACATGAAGAAGTTCTTTTATTCATCATAACCGCTGGTACATCGGTCATATTTTCAGATAAAACATCTCTATGACTGAAAATCATGAACAACAAAAACGCTTTTAAATATCCCCCTAAAAACTTTTGGTATAAAAAAATAATCCATCAACTTGATTTTGGAAAAGTATCGATTCAGTGCGAGTAACAACAATTTATTGGTTTCACAGAAACTTTTTCATTTTTTTCCAATTAATGAGTTAGACATTAAATAAAATTTTTCTCCAAAATAGACCAACGGAAAGAGACAAACAAACAAAAAGGAAAAAAAAAACTAGGAATGTATAAAAAAACTGAAATCTTGTATACTAAAGTTGGTCCATTTTTCTCTTCCTTCAAAAATTACTGCCTGTCTGGCAATCTGTTCTTTTTTCCTTCCATTTCTAATCTTTATGCTAAATAGTCTCATTTGACAATTTCAGGCTAAGATCTGGAAAAAATTTACTACGTTTTTGATCGAAGACATGACATAAATAGTTTTAGTTGTAAAAGTACCAAAGTGTTTAGACCAAAAGAAAATCCACCGGTTGAAAAAAATATGGTTAACGTCGATACCGATGTAACAGCTTTTTAATTTTGAGCGTAAATTTGGAAGGTCAAACAGATGCGTAATCTGTAATATGTTCAAAGTAGATCCCAATTAGTATTCTGGAAATAACAATTGTTCTCACTGTAAACCTTATCTCAACCACTACTGTATCCCACATTTACTGAATGGATTTGACATGTAAGCAGCGATATATGATGATTAAAAAAGCCTAACTCACAACTGGTAAAACGTAACAAAAAACACTTTTTAAAAGAATATACAATTCACGAACGGAAACTAAACTACTGTTCTGGCAACATCGAGAAACATACAGAAGAGAAAAAAAAAGATTTCAGCTTTTTTTTTACCACAGAAATTTGCCACACTTTTTGTGATTCATAGAAATAGCAAATGTTAGTAAAACGAGGTGAAAGCAAAAATGCATACGTTTCTGGAGTTGTCGGCACATCAACGCCTTGAAAGTTTGGCGACGATGATTCCTTTATCGTCGCAATTTCCATAAGTTTGTTACGCCACCAAGAAGTTTTTCTGAAACTTTTGAAAAATTGCACCAAATTTGGTTGTCTTAAATTTGTTGTCATTAATTTTAACCGTGAAAATTTTATTTTTTTTAAACGCACACACCGGTGATGGTGTTTTATCAATCGATCTCATGTGGCTTGTTGAATCACAGTGGCAACATTGCTTCCTTCTGCGTGTGTAACAAAAAATTAAATTTATCGTTTTAAATTTTTAGCAACAAAAGCTGAATTGACATGTTCAGGTAAAGTGAAGGAGGGGGCTTTACGGTATATAGCTTTTCCATCAGTGTAATTGTGTAACTGAGAGGAGTAAGATTGAACAGAGAGACATTTGAAAGTTTTGCAAGAGACAAACAGAAAAAAAAAAGATTTTTTCAAAAAAACCAAACTGCAGCAGACAGAACAAATATCCCTTTTTTTTCTGCAAATAGTTGCCATAAAAACGAATATATATGGTGGTGATTATTATTACGAAAGCTGTTTAACTGTTAATTCGCAATACATAGATGATGTCTTTGTTCTCTGAAAACTTTCACCTCATTAAAAACTTAGCCAAATATGCTTGTTTTATTCTTTATTTCTTCTTATTTTTCGCCTTTTTTGGGTCTCAACTGTACACAGTAAACCACCAAAGAACGGTTTAAGGGGTAAGCAAAAAAAGAATAAAAAATTAAAACAACTGAATTAATTTTGCTGCAATTATACAGTGGTATTTTTGTTTCAAGTATGAAGTCGATGAGTACCAGGCATCCAAATTCCATTACTGCAACTTAGTTACTACTGTCCTAACTTATTTAATACATTTGTTATTAACTGTCGGTAACCCGGAACTAATCAAAACAAAACTGTCAAGTTTGGTTTGACTAACCTCTCATTTTGATTTCAGAAGTGACAACTGCGAAAGTAACGATACCAATTAAATATTATTCACAACCCCCTTCCTCTTTCCTCCTCTATAAAGGCCTACCTAATTACTGAAACAAACAAACAAACGAGAGACAAAACAATTAGGTCACAGAACAACAGCAGAAAGACAATTCAAAATTGGAAAAAATTTTAAATCGCTCCCAGATCCAGCAATTTGGGTACAAAAGAAATAATACCATATTCTAAAGAAGTGAGCGTTTTATATCAGTTGTCCGACTTCAGCCTTTTTAAGCAAACAAATGCCGCAACAGTTATGACTTTAATCAAAGCAAAAAAAGAGAGGTCAAAAAGAAAATGGAATCAGGACTGGAGATTCAGTAGTACATTTAGTCACTTGGTGATCACATGTATACCTAGTGACTTGCTATTTTGCAATTTGGCCGGGAACAATTTTTTCCATTTTTCAGTGACGTCACTTCCACCAGTTTCCTTTTTGAGTCTAATAGTGATCGTTTCTCGCTTCTTCACAGGCTTGATTTAGGTCTGGGCAACCTATTTCATCGGCTCACCTCTACAGTCTCTTTTTTTGATACTGTGACCATCGCAAAATCTTATTTTCCACCAACACATCCGTCACTAGCAACTAGAAACAGAAGTTTTTGACCGGCCTCTCATCATGTTGGTTCTAAACTGAATCCAATAGTATTTACTACATGATAATGTCGCTACCAAACTTTAAAGTCCAGCCGGCTAACTCATCGACTTATTTAAACTAATATCACAAGAGTGTCTCGATTTAAAAACTGATCAACTGTCATACTCCTACTGCATCAGTTCCAGAAAGTTATTGGCCATACAGTCAGTAAAAAGAATTCAAATACTGTTTATAAAGCGAACATTGCCAGACTCTATTTAGATCACTTTCCTCATTAGCGTGGGAATAAAAGAACGCATTGAAATCAGGCAAATTTCAAATACTTTACACCACTCTCTTATTTTTTGAAAAACGGAGTACCATCGTATCGCTTCAAAGAGTTCCTAAAGTATTTTCAATTGTGATAGCAGAGCCAGAAAGTCAAATTTATGAGCATAAAAATCAGCTGTTAAGAAGTACGATGATAGGGAATTGTAACAGAAATGAAATTTGTCTACTGCAGCGAAACTCCTGTATTCTTTAAAACCCCAGGACATTTGCAGCTGATTCTTCTAGCTCATCATAGTTTGCCAAGGTAATCGAGCAAATAGAAACGTTGTTAGACAATTTTGAGGAAAAACTCGTTGTCATTATAGGACAGTTATCAAAAATCTGCAGAAAAGACTTAAAATTGGTGTTGATTAAATAACGAAAAGGCGAAATCCGAGCCATTCATCCTGATCTACCAGGACTCCGTCGGCACAGGGAGAGTAAGTTGTTCAAGCAATATGAGACACACCAAGGGTTTGCCAGTCGGCTTTTCCAGTAAGTCATTTATAGAAAGATAAAAGCTATGAGATGAATTATATAAGCATTTCTTTATATTCCAAAAAAAAACATCATCTTATTTTCAATGTTTCTGACGAGTGAAAAGCTGAAAGAACATTAGGGCATTGCAACAGCATACTTCTTCACAAGTAGAAAAAAAATTCAAAACAAAGGTAAAAAATTTTCTCAATCTTCATTTAACAACAAAAGCTTCTTTTATCTCCAAATTGAATTGTCTTTTTGAATATAGACCGTTAAAACTGCCACCAAGAATGGCTGGATCAAAGTACGGTTGGTATCAGGACGAAACCGTGTTTGCCAAACTTAACACATTTCGCAGTTGCCTGACCGTAACATCACTTCTCCAGTTAGCAGCAGTTTTCGCCTGTTTATAGCCTAATTATTTTCAGCATGATATTTTTCCAAATGAATACTTCTTCCTCTCTACGAACCTCTTTTTTCGTTTCCTTCACATACAACGCCCGAAAAAATGAATGAACAGTGAACTGAATAGCGACTACGGAAGCGAGGACGACTTCTTAGAGTTTTGACCAAATTTTTAACGCGCTTTGTGCGCGTTATATTAGAACGTCCAAAGCAACCTGAGCAAATAAAGCACATTTAAAAGCTGACAGATGCTTTTACAGTAGTTTAACAGCTGCCAATGAAAATGGTGAAAGTCAACAAAAACATCAATTTTCCCTACCTTCCCTTCCTCCTCTTCCTTAATTTAATTTAATTTTTCAATTGCTTTCGATGCTTATTAAACGAAGATCATTAAAGACAATAAAGTATTAAAAAGAACCAAATTTGTTGAAAAATAGAATGAAGGAAGGAAGAAGAAAAAGAGCGAGAAAAAACGACTAATAACTGCAAAAAATGGTGACAGTTCTTTGATATCCTTAATAGACTATAGTTTCAAAAACATTTCATAAATGCATTCATTCCAATAAATCTTATGAATCTAAAGCTTACAAAATGCAATTAATTTACAATTTTACTCACTCATCAATTTCGAGGTATTTATTAAAAGAAATCTGACTTTTGTTGAAACAGTTATAGGCATATATTGCAATGTATAATGACGATCGACCTCTGTATAAGTTTTCAATCAGAATAACAGTACAGTAGACTTAATTAAATACAGATATGAAAATTTGTAGTTATTTTCGTGTGAAATGGTGACATAATAGCTGGCCTAATGTCATCATAACAGCATTGCCAGAATAACGCTGCTACATTGGTTTTATCACTTACCACTCAAAAGCATTATTCCAAGTAACTGAATAATCAGGTGTTTAAATATAGTACAAAAAAACCTATATTTTTCCATATCAAGTAAGAATTATATTAAACAACAACAAAAAAATCCTTTTCGCTTTTACCAGTCTTAGCCATCTTTTTATTTAGGATAAATTGGTGATGAAAAATAAAAAAAAAATTTTTTTTGGCACAGGAGTTTTTGAAAGCATTTAAAAAAATGTGCAACTATTGATTTATTATCATACAAAAATAAAATGGTTGAAAAACTAAAACGGGAAAATAATTAAATCGAGAGAGAAAAAACCGCAAATAAGAAGTGTCGCTGCGTGTTCATAAAACATTGATGGACAAGTTCGATGTTTGTGTCTGTGCGTATGTATTTAGGAAGAAGAAGAAGAGGATGGAAAAAAAGGAAGAATAGACGATGTCGCCTAAAAGACGATAGAAATCTGTTGGGTTCAGCAGTCTACACAAAGACAACAACTACGATGCCGATAACGGTTATGATACTGACAACAGTACCCGAGACGTGCCCAACAGCATCAAATTGCACTCTCCGAATTACATTGGCCTTACAGTTTTCATTAACCACTTTATTACTTTCTTCACTAATTTTTCGTCAAGACAACCGTCTAACTGCTCGTTAGCATCTTTTGTTCTGTTTTGTTTCGCGGTTCTATCAAAAATGTCATCAGAAAGTTTCTTTTATTTTTCGAATTTAGCTGTACAAAAGCTCGTTCTCCTAAATTCATATATTAGTATAGTTATTAGTTGGTCATTTATCTCTTTAACTGTATATACTAATTATGGATTACGAAGATCATTCAGCCTGTCCACCCGCCTCCCCTGTCTCCCACCCTCCGCCCTTCTTCGCAACAATTTTTCTCTCCTTTTTTCATCATTTTTTTCTTCGTTCTCTTC